ATATATATGTATAAATTTTTGTAATATTTTGTTTGTTAGTTATTAAATTATAAATAAAATTAGAAATATAATTTATTTTGGTTTTTTTTGGACCAGACTGTATATACAGTATATATATATTATTAATATCAAAATTAGATTGAAAACAAACCATTTTTTTATTAACTATAAAAAAGTAAAAAGTATTTATATGAAAAGTCAAAACAAATTTTTTTATTGTTCTGGTAAGTATCAAGTCCGATTTCAAAAATTTTCAATAGTATTGTTTGATGTATTCGTACAGTATATTATTTGGTAAATCTTGAATTTTATTTCGGTATGCTTCGAACTATTTGGTAAATATTCGATTTAGATATTAATGGGTATTCAATTTTATTCAGTAAATATTTTAATTGATTGTATTGCACAAAACCCACTTTATATTATCAATACCTAATTTTTATTTGATTTATTTTTTGCCATTAATATGGATAAGAAATATGATATAGGAATTGTTCTATGTTGCAAAATTACAATATACTAAAAAAAAAAATTATAATATAAAGCTTTTTTATTTTGACTTTAAAATTTTATTTATTGCATACTTGACTTCCTCACATTACAGGATATTTTTTGTTAAAAAAAGAATATAGTGATTTGTCACTTTCATCCAATTTAACATTGTAATAGTGAATAATTATGTGACTGCGATAATACCTGAAAACTAGTTATCTTGTAATTCTAGCATATTTTTAAAATAATTTTCTCTCTTATTAAGATCTTCAATTACATCAACTGTTTGGTAGTCATCAAGAGACTGTGTTTGGATTTCAAATTGGGTGAATTCAGTATTGAATACGACATTCACCAGAATGGTTCCTTGGAAACACCATAAAGCGTACATGGTTTTCTGTGACCTTTTAGAATGAAATTGACAAGATATATATACATATAAAAGTCATCAGAATATCCTTTAGCCTGCTTTAATGGATTCCTGAAATCAGTCTCTATATTTTATTACATTTGAGCGAATAAGCTGCCAAAATTTCGTCATTATTAACTATCATCAGATCGAGACGGATTCGACCACTAGCATTTACCTCAAACAAGCAAATCATTGGATAGGGCAATAGGCCATTAAGGACGCGAAAAAGTGCTGCCTGTAGAGTTCTTTCCGATGGGACTTCTTGATTCTGGACTCTCGTCAATGATTGTATTGGGATCGATAAATTTTAGTCCAAGTACTAGTAACCCAATAGGATCTTCTGGAACAACATGTTTTGGTAAAGATTCTTGAACTGCAGGAAAGAGAGCCTCAATGCAAACACGCAGGATAATACAACTTGTAAAACAAACTAAATTAACATCTACGCGCCATCTCCCAACGATCTGTCCTTTAGTCTGTGAGTTTGCGAATATGTCTCCTTTCATCATCGTTCATCTTGTTTATTTCTTCTTTTGATTTGAAATGAGTCCCATTCGTGTACTGAGTAAGTCTTTCCTACAACTTAATTTTCCACTGTCTAACAGTTGGCCGACAATCGTGAAAAAGCTTTAATAAAATCATGAAGGATGCCGGATGTCCACATGAGTCTCTTTCGATTTCAATTTGCAAATCAGGCGGGATACCATCTTTATTTAAATGTACTTGATACGAATGGAAAATCGTACCCATTTCTTTAGTACTAAATCGTGACATTTGTTTGAATGTAGCTTTATTGAAAGGCGATCCAAGATATCCATCGTCTTTCATTAAGTCCACGAGGATAAAGGTACCCATAGCAACATAAATTATTTCGGAGCTTGAGATTTCTTTGAAGAAACGTTTTGCCGCGTTAAGGAGCTCGTGGTCTGTGAAGATAAACTGGAATTCATCGACTATGGTATTGATACGTATTAAAGTTTCCGTTTCAGAGAGTCTTTCATTAAAGAGAGTATATGACATAAAGTTGAAAAATCCTTGTCGTTTGTTTAATAATATATCGCCCTGCATTTGTGACATTACGAAACGCACATAGTTTAGCCTTCACCCTTGAGTGTTTCCTTGAATCCTAACAAAAAGGTCGTCTTTCAACTTTGATATGGACCATGAATAATGTACGATTTTTTTTCATAACACCATATCTCACTTCTTTGAAAATATCTCTTTCATATACAGAAAGCATAAGTACATCCTGATTTGGATATAGTGCACCTACTATTAATATATCATTAACCTAGTATTGTCTTTTCTTACTAGTTGAAGCTAATAAAACGAATGAGAAAAACAACATATACTGTATGTTACAAATGAAAAATACCTAGTGACTAATTTATTAGACTCACCAGAATGGATTGATCTACGATAACGAGAATGTATTTTTTGGGATAAGTAGGAAAGAAAAGCACAAGAATAAATAAGTATTCGGTATTATTGGCGAATATTGACACAATTTTGGCGAGAATAAGTTCACTTTTCTCCTTGAATGTCATTAATCAACTCAACGATTTCTTTTGCTGGTCCAAGAGGTACTTGAATACCCGAAAGATCATCTCGTGTTAATTTAAGAAAAGTTGAGCCCTTGAGTTCTTGAGCTGTTAAGGTGTCTATGTGATTATCGATGTCGTTTAACCTCCTTTACAAAAGGCCATTAAGTTTTTTGTCATTAAATCCTCTCACTTCCTCAACCGCCGGAAGACCAGATGAAGGAATAACGGGAATACTGGTGGAGGAACCTGCAACGTTAAACGATGACTTTGCGATAATAAAATAGTACGAATAGTAAAAAATAAGAAATCTATTATCGACCCATAATTTTATTAATACAGACGATTACTATATGTCATGCTTACTACATATTAAAAAGTTTCAAACTTTAAGAATGAGCCATTACTGCAATCCATCACGTGGTCCCTCATTCCACAATAAAAATTTAACGCGTTTCGACCGCGATTCAAATGGGGTACTTATAATTATATAAGAAAGAAATTCAACCGCGACTACATCGCACCTTCATCATATCTTTATCACATCTATATTGTATTAGTGAAACTAGGTAACTAATAAACGTACAGTATATCTGAAAATTTCTGGAAGCAGTTAAAGTGGTAGATTACACATCTTTGATATGCGCTAATTAAATGATCCAAATTTTTATACGTTTTCTTTCCGCTACTTAAATCGTAATAATAACCAGCATATTCGTCATCCTTCGCCGAATTAGATTCGTCTTTTACTCTCTAATTACCGGAGAAATTTTCATTACTGTCATTTTCATCTAAGTCAGAATCTAAGGTTCCATCAGGTACACTTATCTCATCTGGATTAAAAGTATGAGATGATTGGTTAGAGTGAGTGATCGAAGGACTTGCTTTTACTTCTGGTAATGATTTCTTGATTACCTTATTTACTTCAATTTTTGGAAATTGTGAGAACGGATGAATAAGAAATTTGAGACCTATCTTCAGTAGGCGTACTTACCCTATATATTGTATATGATTTGAGACAGATGGTTCGGTTATATGCATGTCTTGATTCACACCTTTTTGGATAGAGTCGATATCCTCTTTAATTTGATATTCACTTTTGCTGGTGCAATAAAGAAAAAAACGATGAAATACCATTCCATTGCTAAAATAATTATACAGTATTGCGTAAATAGTAAGATATAAATACTAATAGATACTATTCTGTAAAGGCAATCATAATTATCATCTCGAAATGCTTCATAGTCGTACATTTCTTTTTAGTTGCATGATATTCTGGAGATAATCAAAATCGACATTTCAGCACATAAGTTCCTTGTTTCCTTTGATAGCATAGTTGATATGACCAGATGCCTCCTCACCGGAAACTCCTTTTTGGTATACTATGTAGATTTTCTCTTCATTGGTAAGTCTTCGGATGATAGACAAAGATACTACATAATGAACGTACAACGTGTAGCTTAGTATGCATTGTTTCCGGATTTGTAACTATTAATATTATTTGATTCATGCATTGCTCAAGTGCTTTGTCGTCATATCTATTGTCTCAAATACTATACAACTGAAAAAAAAAATAAATCTTTTGTTTCTCAAAGCGCTTCGCGCTTGTATATCTGGAGTCTTTGAACGCCTCGTCACAAAAATAAAGTATAAATCACATATCCAGATTGAATTGTTTAGTGCACATAATATTCTCCCATCTACTTTATATTTACAAAGTTCATCTTTTAGCTCTTGTATGACGAGAAACTTCTATTTTTTGTTCCTGAGATCTTCAATAAATAAAATATCAAACTAATAAGCAGAGTTTAAGCTACTATTTTGGGATGCAGAAAAATGCTCCCCGTGCAGCATCCTTACCGCACTCGTGCAGCGACTGTGCAGGCGTGCTTTCGAGTGAAATTTCCGAATCATGTATAATTCACGTGATCGACAATAGGCATCGACACGTACGAAACCTTTATTGCTCTAATATAATTAAAATAAAAATTTTAGATTATAAAATTATAAATGATTTATTAGTAATTTACATAATTTCTATAAAAATTTTATTTATAAATAAAGGAATTTTATTAATTAAGTATTTATTATATTTAAAAAATATAGTATTAAATGCAAAAAAGATAGATACTTTATAAATAATATTTCTATAAACAATATTGTAAATACGTCATTTACTATTTACTATATATAATAAAAATGTATAGAAACAAATAGAAAAATTATAAATAGAATTTTTATAATAATATTAATACTTATATGGTAATGATATAAATAAATCCAAAATTAAAAATTTTTAACTAAATAAAATTAACAAGAAATTAAATTTAGAACAATAAATAAAAAAAATTATAAATATGACAATATGTTGATTATTATTTTTTTGATCCACTTTTTTTAAAAGTCAGCAAAGCTGATTCACTTAATAATCTTGTCAGTAAAATAAATAACAATATTTTTTTATTAAAATTTTTTTTTTAATAAAAAACGAATTCACAACAAAACATTAATACTTATACTGTATTTCCAT